CCAAGTACTTGCAGCAAATTTTCCTAAAACACAGGAGCTCTTTCAATCTGCAGATTTATTTTTTTCATTTTTGCAAAATTATGTCGTTTCACTGTTTTGGAATATCAACATCAGGGACATAAATAATCTTTTTGTTATATTGTCTTTGCCTTTCTTATTTACTGACTTCTCTCCAATTGCTTTAATCCATTTTCCCTTTCATTCCCTCTGATTGTCTCAACCCTTTCCTCTTTGTTGGTAAAGATTTTCACTGGTGTCTCTTCTGATTCCTGCTCTTTCTAATCAATATTTTTGTTCTATAATTATCATGCTTTTTTCATTCTTGGTTTCTTTCCCTAGATCTAAAATATCCTTTTTCATCTCATTCTATTGTTTTATCATTTCATCTTTGAACTCTTGTTTATGGAATTTCTCTTCTTATTAAGGTGCTCTATTTGTGGGGAGCAATTATTAGACAGTTCCACAGATTCAGTGAGTTGATGCTTACTTCCTGGTGGGATCTCTAAGATCAGTTGGGGCAGGGTATTTCACTGCAAAGAGCTACGGTTCGTTTTCCCAATTTAGAGTGTTGCTCTGAAGGCTTCATTTCTCCAGAGAGGCAGTGTTTGCTCATCTTCCTCCATTTCACTATTTCTCTTCCAGAATCCTTTCTACTATTCCTCAGTCGCAAGGAAAAAAACAAAAGAAAAAAACACCAAAAGCTGAGGATATCCATTCATTTGCTTCTCTCCAGATTTGGGAATGTTAGTGAGAATTTTCAGGAGTCGTCATCTTGTCAATAAAATTCTAAGTTGGCCCAGGATTCAGGCCCTGTTAGGTCTCTCTGTTTTGACGAAAGATGCCTGCTTCCATTTTTCCCTTGACTATTAGTTTCTGAGGTATGTTGCATTAGGTTATACCATTTTCCTTGCTTACTTATTGCTGAATATAGTGTGTATGTGTGGAGGGGAGGGTGTTTGCTGGCTTATACTATTTTAGGATCACTTCATTATCTATCAGTGATGAGAAATTATGTGGTACACTTTCAAATTTCTCATCTCCAGAATCAAAATCACCATTTTTAAATTCAGAATTTGGGTTTATTTTAGTATTCTGAGGAGTTTTATTGAATTTTCTGACTTAATGGACATAACAAGTATGCCACCTGTGTCATCCACAGAAAAATAAAATACTCATTCTTGTCCCCATTCTCAATGGGTCTATTTATAACTAGCTTTTAGATTGCTACCTATCAAATATTTCAATTGATAACAGCCTTATAAGTGAAGATAACCTGAGTTAGAGAACAGCAAAACAGTAATTATGGGGAATACCAGAAGTGATTCTTGACGTGACAGGAGCATTTCACAGTTTTACATTTTCATAATTAGATTCTGCTTTCCAAGTAGACATAAATGACTACTGAATCTAAAATGTTCCTTTCCCCTCGACAATATACACCAAGAGAAAAAAGGACCCTGAAAGGGTGAAGATACATTTTTCATAAAAGAAATTCAGGATTTAGATTTAAATATTTATACCTGACAATAAGAATACATAGTGAAAATATGAGCTTTCCCTATTATAAATATGTTTATATTTCCCTATTGTAAAAATATATACACTAATGCTGTCCAAACTCTAGGAAATTCTTTCATAATAATTGTTCCAGTGTTGTCTGGACAGCTCTGCTGTCCAACGTGTTAAGCAACATGCCTGGCAACAGGAGAACACCCCGAATTCTGCCAGCTACTGCAGAGTGATCTGAGTCAATATTTGTACATGCTTCAGTTTCTGCCACAGTTATCACTTATATTGGCCCACACATGCCACAAAAGTGGAGATTGACCTGGCAAAATGTGTCACTCATACTGAATTCCAGGATTCAACAATATAAAACTCTTTAACTGAAAAGACATTAGCAGATTACATTGTAGAACCTAGTTCTACCTAAGATGTCTAGCCTGGCTGGGTCAATTTTAGGAAAAAATGCAACAATATAAAATATGTGCAATTCAATAGTATATAAAGAGCTCTGAAGAAATACCATCTATGCATAGTATCCAATATAACTAGAATAACAAATGGGAACTCTAAAGCAATGGCTAACAACAAAAAAGAGCTTTTTTAAACAATTAATCTCAAGAAATCTGCCATTGGTGTTTCGCTGTTCAATTAAATACTCTGCAACTTCTATGCCTTTGATTATTACGTAATGAGACATTTCACAGAACACACACACACACACACACACAAGCTACTCTGATTTACAGTCACAATTTGCACAAGGAAAGGATTTAATTCTTATCAGACACGGAAACCAAAAAAAATAGCTGATTTACAAAATAGCTAAAGAAAACTTATTATCAAGACAAAACATCATTTCCCACATGATATACAATCTAACTCATCTAGCTTGTTCAGCAAGACAGAGCATGGTACTGAAGAACTGGGAGCCCAGGTTCATTCACTAAAAATAGTGATAATAATAGCGAGTACACATTTTAATGACATGTTGTTACATTTGAATCTCACAAGAATGCCAAGAGGGAAGCAGGAGGACATCATTATTCCTCAGTTTACAGATGAGTAAACCAGTTACACAATTGGCTAGCTGCAGAGTTGTGGCTGGGACACAGAGCTTTTGGCTCCTGGAACAGTGCTCTCTCCACTCCTCTGTGCTGCTACCATATCTCTTTTCTCTCTTTTAGATCCAAAGACTCCATCCATTTCTAAGCCTACCAACCACATCCATGTCACTGGTCCAAAAGGGAGTTGAACAAGATTTGTAGCTAAATTAAGCCAACACACCCCTAATTTAGCAATTAGCTTAAAGGACAAACCCTACTAATATAGGTCGCCAGCATCACCATCATGTCCCCCTATTTCTATATCGGTGATACCCAAAGTTTGCTGCACATTGGAATTGCTTGGAAGATTTAAAAAATCCCAATGTTCAGGCTGTTTCCCATATCGATTATACAAATCAGAAACTCTTGGGGTGGAACCCAGGCATTAGCATTTCGTAAAATTCTCCTGGTGACTCCAAGTTGGAAAGCCAGTGCCTCAGAGGAAGGAATAAAGGCTGAGAGAATTAAATTTAAGGACATATTCTATGAAACAAAATCAAATTTACACGATATGGTAGGAAGGATGCAACTGTCTTTTTGTTTCAAATTTTATAAATAAATAGAACTTTCAGTTTCCTTGTTTATACCAAACAGGTTTGGGAGTTGACGTGAATCTACATGACTTTTAATTGAATAGCTTGGTGCTTAAAATGTTGCTTCCTGTAGAATTGACAATAGCATGGACAGTTTCAAGAGCTTCCCTGCCTGAAAATATTGTGGCTTTGTATAAAAATCATTAAATGCCAGGAAAATGACAATCTCAACTGAAATCGAAGTAAATTTATGTACGATTATCAAAGACACTGAGAAACAGTGAAGCTTGCAAACACCTGTAGCGAGATTCAATGTCAGCAGACTGTCGCTGCTTGAAAGACACAGCTTTGTTTCTACCCTCCGAAAAAAGTTATCAAGAGGGGAGGACTAAAAGGATAAAATATAGCACTGAAAATATATCTAAAATAGTGATTTTAAAAGAGTTGGTCCATATTTAAAAAATAAAATGCTAAATCAAGCATCCAGTTCCATCAGAGACACATTAGCTGACCCCTCCCCAAAGCTCCTGTCAGTTTCATAGCCACGAAGATAACAAACTCTGCTGAAATTCTGGTACATTTGCTTTAGAGAAACAGACATTACTAATTAATATAATTTCTGTCATGTAAGTGTAAACACACTAAATTATACAAAATTCATATTTTATTCTGAATCCATGAAAAAAATTGGATCAACAGAAGGATCTTAAAATCATGACAACTAACTGAGGTTTAAAGAAAACTTGCTTCAAACACAGATTTGTAGATGGGAAGGTGTTCAACACTAAGTAGACATCATACCAACCTGTGGAGTGTTCTTTCATCGTTATCTTTACCAAGTAAATGCTGCGTTCTGTTGCACTCTTATCATAGCAATCTAGGTAGTGATCTATAATTATGATTAAGCCCACATAGGAACTTAGAAGATGTGAGGGAGAACTTTAAGCCAATTTAGATTGAAGCATTCAGAAGGGGACCAAAACACAAAGTGCCCCAAGCTTTATAGACTATCTGTAGGAAATAAATACGAAAAGCAACAATTATAAGTAAGTGATGTTGCCTGGAAAGTCTACTCTTTCAACAAATAGAAATTGATAAAGCTGACAAGCTTCATCTCCCAACAGCACATCTCCTTGAAGGCACAAGCACATACACAGGAGAAACTAGAAATTGGAATCTGTTACTGTTGTTCTTTAAAATGTTGCACCTGCATGTAACACCTTTATATGTGTGCTATGCCATCGCATCTGCCTAACGATGCTAGACTCCCCAAATGTTTTTGAAGAAAATTAAAATAACCATCTGCTAATAATAATTTTATTTCATCCTAAATAGTTTCATTTTGGGCTGACGAGAAAAAACCACATTAAAACTACCTTCACAACTCTGTAGCAAACACATTTCAAAAGGTAGGTCTATAAATAGATGTGCTTCTGTATGCACACTGTAAATGTAAAATCCTCGGGCTAGCAGAGGCTGCAATTTAAACTGAAGCCCTAGTATGAACTTACCTGATTTTTAAGGTCCCGTTAGAATACGCACACAACCAGCACAGATCTCCTCTTTCTAGTTGCATAGTAAGGCAAAACACCCCCAACTACATTTTACTTATCTCAGTCCCATCCTTCAACAGAAGCTTTGCAATTCCATTCAGAAGCTGCTGTCCCCAAACAGACTGAACATGCACAGAAACAGTAATGGAAGAGATCTAAGTTAAATCCTACAGACGCACCAAGAAAACAGCAACATCAACACCAAAAAGCAGCAAATCCTTAAGAGAGGTGCTTTTCTTAGCTGCATTTCCCAAGTCAGCCCCCTTTCACACATAAAATGTCTCAGTTGCGAAAGAGGATCTTACCTGAGCTGATCATACTGTGCATTCTCTGCTGAGCCAAGAGCTGCTCTCGTCCAGCCACCCCATCTGAGGAAAAACACGAGTCACTCTCGTAAATTGTCTGCAGCATATTCCAATCACTCTTACTTCAGCTACATGAAAGATTCATCGCTGCTCAGTGCATGGGCCCCAGGAGCTACCCTCACTGGTCCTCCCTCCTCCCTGAGGAGAAGCAGCAGAGGATCAACTTCGACAACGATTTCCTTTCTGTTAAGATGGACACACACTTTTCAAAAGACCTGGACACTTTTCCCATGTTACCAACCTGTGTACAAAGCAGAAAGGACCGAGTGGATGCTATGGCTCTCTGGAGTTTAGGTTATCCCGGAAACTAAAAGCAGGTGGGAAACAGGAATGTGCTTCAGGGTTATTGCTTTGTCAGAATAAGTAGAAAAATATTAACTCTACCCATGAGAAAAAGAAACCAATTAAACCTGGCTTATAGTTCTTCAGGCTGCTAGAGTTTCGTTGCAAGAACCCTCAGTCCTGCCAGAGGCTTCAGCCGGTGCCCTTCTATTTGTTTGTGTGTGTGTCTCTTCCCCCTCTCTGGTCTCTCTCAGCTCAAGTTGGCTAAAGCTAGAGATAATCCATTTGCATATGAATCAACAACGGCATGGCCCACAGGCACAGAAATAGAACAATGGTCGGCCTGAGCCAAAAATAGGTCAAGCATGGCCGAGTGATTGGAGCCTGCATTAATGCATTTAAAAATACCCCAGCAAACCCAGCTGTCCAGCCTCTATCTTTCAAACCATAATTCTCTATTGCAGGGCCTTAAAAGCAATTAACTCTTTCCTCCCTCCAAGCTTGTTTTACACACTGTGTTTCCACACTGGCGATTCGCTTCCAAAGAAAGGAAGGCAAAAAGAAAGGGAAAAAAAAATTTAGAATCATAATTCTAAGAGGGCAAATGCACATACATTTAATTTCATTTTATTTTTGTAGTATGTGTTTTTGGAAGAGAGAGGAGAGAAGTGCAGAGCTCTGTATTGGTTCTAAAATAATACTGGAAGCTTTTGCTCATAATGTGGTTTCTGCCTCACCCACGCACAGCAATCCTGGTGTTCTATTTTTGTTGCCTGTTTCTCTGGCTACACTGCAGTTGGCTGTAGCACTAGAAGCTTTTCTGCCTTCTAGTTTTAAGACTGACAGGAGATTTAGTAGAGGTAGTTTCGGAAAACAAGCACACCCCAGAATAAAATGTTTATGAAGGACTGGCTTGATTTTTCACTTGCTATTGTGTAAGGCAACTGTCCATTTCACAAATCCTAATGTGATCTTAGTACCACCTATCAATTTTATTGCATCCAGTTTTTATTACATCTAAATTAAAAAAAAAAAAAAACAGCTTAAACCTGAGCACTTTCCCTCTATTTCAGTTGCTCAGGCTAAAATCAATTTATCTGCAAAAAGGAAAAGAAAGCGTTGTTGCTTTCCTATGGATGGATGCAGAATGACTGAACACATGCACCTGTGGATCAAGAAATAAATATGGTCAGTCCCCAACTATGAATGTTCTACATTCATCTCTACCTGGTTACCTGAAATACAGACCTCATTTTTCTATAGAAATAGCATTTATAATAGTTGATAGATTCCTAGACCAACACACATCATGGAATTCACCTATAAATTAAATGAACTACAGTATATAGTACTAAAAATTCTATAGTCTCTGATGTACACTTACAATATCCTTTCTATATGAGAAATAAATTCTGCATCACAAATTGAGTTGCCAGCATCTAACTACTCCTAAGGGCAAATCCACAAGCGCTACATCCACTGGTCAAGGAAGCTCTTCTCGTTTTTCTAAACTAGATCGACAAGGAAAATGTAATTCCTAAGGCATCGGTAGCAATAGAGAAGGAAAGGGAAAAAGCAGAGTGTTTCAAGGTTCCCAGAAAAATCAGCTGGAGGAGGGATCGTGGTCAAGCACAGAGTGTGGGGCAGGGGAAAGAACAAGGGAACATAGAGTTTTGGTGGAAAGGAGGAAACAGGTTGAGTCATTAAGCAGATAACCCACTGCCGAAGAAATGCCACTGAATTCTACTTCTTTCATAAACTAACTCTGACTTCTTGGGAAATTATATTTGCACAGATAAGTTACAAGATTTAAAAAAAAAGAAGTTATTCCAACTGCATTTGACTTAAGTTAAACAATAAAATGTTATGTTTCTGTCCGTGAAAAACACTATTTAATTCCATCTGATATTACAAGTAAACTTTTACTCACTTAAGAAACTGGTGTATAAAATTCAAGAGATGGAAATACTGAGGATGTGGCAATTTACCTCAAGGATGATATAACCAATAATAGCACTTTAGATCTAGAAGGAAATTTAGAGATTATCTGCAATGGTGTTCAAACTCTGTCCCCCAGGATGACAAAGTACCCAGGAGCTGACTCACTGTTCTCCAGAAGAGCTTCTTCCCCCAACCAGGAGAGTCTCACTTTTATCTCTTTACATCAAGTATGTAAGATTTCTTTTGAACAATGACTTCTTAGATTAAGAAAAACACTGAAATTGAAATCCACTCATTTTGTACAAACGAGCTCCCTGTTTTACACATGAAGAAAGTAAAGAAACTTGCTGAAGTTTACAAAGGTTGTAAAGGCACTCATTAATGGAGCCAGGACTAAAGAGATTTGCTTAGTCTCTGATAGGTAGTTTCTAGCAGAGTAGGTCTAGCATTCATGTTCTGGAGTCGGCCATAAATATCTGAGATATTCAGAATAAATTTTAATATTATCTACTGATGAAAAATGGAATCATTGTCTAATTGTTTCAGAGTGGTTTTGAACAGAATACGCAAAACTAGTGATAAACATATAAGAGGGATAACAAAACCCCAGTATTGACATAATATACTTACACATCTTTTGTTATTTTACATTTAAATTATACCCTCAAGCTACAATTTACAAAAATAGTCTCCAAGCTTTTACAATCATAAAAAAATAAAATAAAACTCCAAAAGGGTGAGTTAGTAATTATCCTCTTTCTCAGAGGTTCTAGGAAAGGGCATTCCACATAAAATAGTATAAATAATGCGTCATCGTCATTTTGACAAAGTTACTAACTTGAGGTTTATTTACATTTCATCCCTGCATTCTTTCAGCATTTTTTTTTCCATTAGCAGGCTCGTCTTTCAACTCTTGATAATGAGAACTTAGCCTACAGTGAAAAGACCTTGAACATATAAAATAGATACCACTTGTTTCTGGAAGGAAAAATAAGCATAATTAAAACCACCACCAAGTATATTGACAACCACAGTTCCATCATCCAAGAACTTAAATATTAAGAATCTTAATTCTGCTTACATCATCTCAACAATGTCAGTAAAGAAATGTGAGTAAGTTTTCTTTGGATATTTATAAAACCAATGTCACTGACTTGGGAAAAAAAAAGATACTAAATTTTATATTATAAGAACCATAACAAGCTATTTTACAAATACCACGCTAGAATAGATAGGCAACTTTTTAAAATCTCAATATAATAAATTTTAATTCAATTTAATAAACATTTTGGAAGTGATCTAAATATTATATTTTACATTCATTCAAATAAAAAAAAATTTTAAATCAGGTTCCCAATTTAATAGAAAATGGGAATGGGCATTGAATTCTAATGCAAAATGTCATTCAAAAGTGATTATGGTAATTCCAATTCTCTCAATGCAGGTACATAGGTAAAACAAAAAAAAATGTATAAAAAAATCTATATAGCATCAAAATGTTTCCAGAAATATCCTCTGACCCCTAGCTCACAATGATCTTTTCTCAAATCAGTCTTAGTTGATGACTGAAGACTCCCCAGAGAGAAGCAAAGAAGATAGTGTAACCTGATTTACTCTACCACAATAATATATCCTCTGTTCATCTGTAATCAAGCATAGACTTTTCACGTAGCACCAAATCCCATGATTCTGGAACCTATAAGCAGTAAGATTTAAAACTTGTTTGCATGAAACACTGAATTATGCTTTAGAAGAAAGCTGCAAATTACTCACCAATAACTGGAACTCTTCCACTCCCTGTCTTACTCACTCATCTTGCTTCTTCTCTCATCCTCACATTTCTCAAACCATTGTCACAGCAATGAAGTTATATGCACTTGCCTACAGGTGATAGAACTTGGTTCCCATAGACCCCCCAAGGAACAAGAAGAAGAGAGAAAGTACAGTGTACTAATTTCTATTTTATTGTATTTTATTTCAAACTAAGTAGCTTATATTTCTGAATTTCCTACCTCCTGGAGGAACATCACCAATTCTTATTAAATAGTGGAAACTCAATTTACATGTGATTCCTCTCCACTAAGATGACCTAATTGGTTACCAAATGGTGTTCAAATGAGGAAATCTTGCCTGAACTCAAGAATAGGTAAAGGGTTTGAAAAAACACATTAGCAATGAAACTCCAGGGAGACTGTTTTATATGAAAACAAAACAACATGAACAAAAGCTCTAGAACTGGTTGGCTTTGCTTTGATTGAAAACAATTTCTTCCCTAACTTTTCCCTTCAAATGGGGTGTGTTGCTTTAGGATCTATTCTATTTTTAGGGGGTTACAGAGCATCAGAGTCACCTGGGGACTTGTAAGAAATCTACCCCCGAATGACTAAATCATAATTTTTGCAGGGAATCTGTATTTTACAAGCCCTTCAAGTAATGCTGATGCACAACAAAATTTGAAAACCAGTAGATTAGATCATCCTTTCAAAAGCAACGATCAGATGGCTAAAAAAATAAATGGATAAGGTATCTTTTTTGTGTTCAATTTCAAATTAGCCAGTATCATTAGAGAACAATTTTTCAAAATGAAAATAATTAAACCAGATAAGAGACTGAAGAAGACCATTAATATTCAAGGTATGAAAAGACTGAAAAGGGTCATCCAGAAAAGGATCCTCTAACTTGCAGACGAGACCAGCATCGTACACTTAAGGCGACAGGCACGTGTGCACTGCTTTTCTCCACTAACCCATTCTGTATTTCTAAGTTCTATCTTTCTGAGT